GGGTCCCCCAACAAATTTTTAAAAAAAAAAAAAAAAAAAAAAAAAAAAAAAAAAAATCAAACCCAGCTGTTCATATCCTTTAACTTTAAACTTCAGGTTTTTCCCAAAGTTTCCAAACAATCAAAACATCCAGAAAAAAATTTTTAAAGAAAAAAAAATTTTTCAAGAAAAAAGAATCATGGGATTAAGCAAAACATTTCAGAAGCATTCAGCCTCAGCTTTGAGATCATGTGGTCTTGCATGGAGGCACAACTAGAGTGAAGCTGAACTGTAGTCTGTAATTAAGTTAAAAGCCCTTTACATTTGAGATAGCCAACCAGTCAGAGGGTGCAGATTGAAAAATAAGTGCTTCTAGTTCTAGCACCAGTTGCTTCACGTACTAATTTGAGATAGTTCACTAATTAAATGTTTTTAGGCCATGACATATTAAATAGTTAAGTAGTAGTGAAGTAAAGCTATATGACAGGAAACAAAGTTAAATAGTGATTACTCTCTGCTAAAAGTTACTTTCCAAGTTTAGACGATAATGCCAAAAATCAGGCCCTACGCATTCCGTAAGAAAGGAAGCCTTGATCAATGCCATATTAAGTAGCACTTTCTGATACAATATCCTTTCCTAAATGAGACAGGTTTAAAGGATTCTGTAACAGCACTAAGATCTCATTTTCTAAACTTATCAAAGCCAAAGGTCCTCTAGAGAGCTAGCAGAAATTAGTTTACGTCTGGAAACAGCTCTTTAGAATCACTTCACAATGCTGGGGATGAAAATGAAGCAGAAAAGGGACAACTCTTTTCCGAAGCCAAAACCTCAGAAGATTACTGAAAGGTAAAGTAGTCTGATTCCACAGAATATTCTTCTTGGCTCCCCACATAAAGTATTAGAGAAACTGACAACTACCCTAGGATATCAGGATTATAGTGAAGCATTAGTCTCCAAGTTCTAAAGAGAGGAAGAAGCAATATTTTAAAGGTACACCAACTATGCATCTTGCATTTGGGTTTTCTGATACAAGTGCACATTTAAGAAAATAAAATTGTTTAGAACATTTTCCCTCCACCATCACTATCCTTAAGAAGCCATTGAAAAGGTAATAAATAAAACCAAACCCCCACCCCTTGCCTTTTTCTTTATTTTCATGCAAAAATCCATACCTTGTGCAAAATTCTACTTTTTTCTTTTGCCTTCACTGGCCTCCTGTTTTGGTCTAGCTGAACGAGCAAATTGCTGAAATTCTGTTAAGGACTACAAGTGGCAATGGTAAACAGAAGCCAATCAAGAAGCAAAAATGGAGTATTATTTCAGCAAAAGATAGTTTAAAAAGTGGCCTTTATCTGTAAGTCAATTCTACCACAGTATTAAATATTATAACAACAGGGTCTATTAAGCAAAGATTAGGACCTCACTTATCCTGATTACAAAAAAACGAAAATTAAGAGCCTGTCCAAGAGTTCACTATACTAAGTAGATAAAGAGGGCTAACTAGGAATGGGTGAGGTACAAACAAGAGTAACTACAGGCTAAATGCTTGGTATTTACAATCCTCCATCCCAGCATGTCCATTCTGTAACTTTGATGTCTGAGCATGTATTTGGGAGGAAAAAAACTAAAAGGAACAGAAACCGGGGTGATAGAAAGAAAAGGAAATAAACTATGAAACATTCAAATGAAAAATAGGGAAGGACTTAGGACAAAACACAGGGCAATGAAATCAAGAAATGTAGAAATCCCAACATATTACATGGGCCCAAAAAGCAGCTGACAGTTCTAGCTGGAGAAGCAGTCTAAATAGAGATCACTGACCCTGACAGGAACATTTATGTTCTTAATTCTGTAAACACAGGCTTAAGTCAAAAAGCCTACTTAAATGCAGTGTTCATACAAGCTAAATTATCTTTTGACAAGGCAATTCTGCTGTCTTAAAGTATGTTTACTTTCCTATTTCAGAAGAGATGCCTCTTTATATTTTTCAATTATCATAAAATTAACAACAGTACACTATGCTAAGCTGCCTGCTTTTCTTAACATATTTCCTCTTTCAATAGATTTCTAGTAAGTAGGACAACAAAACTAGAGATTGACGGACAGATTACACACAATATAATGTAAAAGTCTGAAGAAAAAGATACAACCACCATGGGTTTTTCAAATAAGACATATCCGTTTGCTTCTTTTAAAGCCTTAGCAGCTGCTTTTTCATTAGGAAGTCCAATGAAAGCTTGTCCCTTCATACGGCCTTCTTTCATCAAACGTATATCAAACCTAGAGGCAAAATGGAGAACTGGGAATTACTTGTGTTTATCCTATTTCACAGTACAACTCTCATTCTTCAAGTTGGAGAAACAGCAGAAATGGGAGCAGAGCCTACAAGCAGGAATTCTGTCGTTGGCAACCATTTTGCCTGGGGGAACCATTTACTAAAAAGTGATATTAGACTGCAGAATGGCAAATTGTCCCCAAACTGTAGTAAATATGACATATGCAAAATAACCAGATACACACAATCATCTACACTGTTCATTCTGTGTTGCTGAGCCAGCAGACAGTAAATTTGGTAATCAAAACATAAGGGCAAAATAATAGGATCTTCACACACTGTTCAAATAGGATCTTCACACACTGTTCAAAAAACAATTTGATTTCTGTACTTGCAATAAATGAAGATTTGCAGATGTAACTTTTTTCCGTATAGAAGCATAAAGAAAAAAGTAAAGATGGCTAGTTTTTAAATCACATTTTTCACCAGTATGATAGAAGTTAACATAAAAGGCTTAATTCTAAACAAGTGCCAAATGAACTTACATGTTCCGCTCCACTTCTGACTGGAAGTCAACGTATCTTCCAAAAATGAATTTGAGATCCTGAAATTGGAGTGTAGGTATAAGCAGAAAGCTAAGAAAAACCTCTTTTGATAATTATTTAATGTGTTAATTTACCTACCTTTTCTTGAACTTGCTTAGCTAAATTCTTCACATATATCCTACAATTTGGATCGCCCGGCTCATAGTTTTTGAAAACAGAAAATTTTTCCATTTCTTGAAGAAGAGAGAAAAACATCATATTTTAACTCATTTAGTTACTCTGTATTTTTGCTCAGTATAAAATAACTAAATTCAATATATGACCAACTAATAAAGGAAAAACTTATTTAAACTATTTGTTGCAACAAATCAAAGGGCTATTACTAGATAAATTATTCTCAGTTATACCTTCTCTAGAAAGTCTGTTTTTTTCTAGTTCCCTTCTAGAAATAAATTCTGATGGTATTTCATCCTCCTCCTCTTCAGTTTCCATTTTATCATTTGAACTAGGAGCTGGGAAAATCCTTCCAAAGCCTGTATTATTGATTTCTTCTGTGGCTGCACAAAGGTCTGAAATTTCAAACACATTGTATCAGTAGTTTGTATGTTTATTCACAAGAGGGTCAACAGCAAGGAAAAGGTATACTCCTTTCGGTAACATGTTAATATAGTAAACATGTTTTGTAAAAGCAGCAAGGTTGCAAGTTGCTTTGTAAAGCAACTTAAACACATCCTTAAAAGAAATAGGTCTTAACCCCTGGTTTGACAAACACACTTGCCCTATATGGTCCTACAAAATCAACTGTACTACAAATTAAAAGTTAAGACACATGCCAGTAAAGGGAAAACTAACCTTGCTGTTCAAGCCTGCATCTGTTTCAATGGATTATCTAATTTTCATTCAAACTGTATATTACTGTAAAGTGCCAAAAAATAGACTAACCATGACCCTCTAAGAACCCATCATGCTTCACTGCTATTATCACTCAGCATTTTTATATCAGATAATCAGTGCATCACACAGAAGGAGGTGGCAATCACTTGAAAATTGCTCTCTAAGAACTGTAAAAGGAAAATCTGAAATGAGTCTGATACAGTCAATTATACTATATAAAACTGATAACACCTTTATAATGTATTTCTCTAAAAACACCTCCTCATTTATAAGAAAGTGCAATTCACCATACACCCACAGATCACACCTGAGAGAAGAAGACCATTAATATCGTCTAGATCCTTTACTGTATCAAGGCAGAGTTCTGCGCTTTAGCATGGGGGAAAAAAAAAATACAAATGCAGAGGAGACAAGTTGCTGTTCTTAAACAAGCCCAAATATACATTATTTATAAAGGCTCCAAAACAAAAGAAAAGAACTCCCTGGCCTCAATATAAGCAGTCTTCTACACACTAAGACCACATGAATTTAATATTCAACACATTTGAAGTACAAATTCTCTCACCATTTTTGTCTTCCTTGGCTGAGTTCATCTGTAGAACAGTTGGGATGTCAGTAGTAATATGGAACTCAATTTTTTTAAGACCTACATGCTGTGGCTGCTCAAAGACATCTGAAGGTGACAGCGTAGGGTGCGAATTACTGTTTAAAACAATAACATGTTAAAGATTCAGATACTGGTGAATGCAGGCTCAAATACAAGATTTCTCCCAAATAGACTTTGTGCTTCTGTTTACCACAAATACATGAGTTCTCCATTTCATAAGTTTCAGCCAATACAGCTCAAGCTGATTAAAGCACTGTAAATACAGTAGGTATGGCTGGCAGTGGAAGCAGAAACAAGAATTACATACCACATTACAGTATAGACAGGCAATTATGAAAAACTTTATCTTAAGTTAAATGAGAAAAATAAGCTGGCCATGTTGCTGCTCTCTCAATAGTGTATAAAAATATATACAAATTTTAAAAAAATAACTCTCCTGAAGGAGGAACGTGGTGGCAAAAATGCATTCACAATTGATCATCACTACATAGAAATATTACACTGCTGCCTACTGTGCCACAGTACTGCAGTTTTAAGAACCAAACTTATTTTATACCAAAACAGTTTTTATACTTCCAGTTTTTATTTTAAAAAGTATCCCAAACATAAATCCAGATTGCATATGTCAGGGCTGTGATATCAAATTATTTTTGTTTCTCATGAAAAAGGGACTATTATTTTTTTGGTAGCAGGAGAAACAGAGCTTGAACAGCTCTGTTCAAACAGACATGCTTTACAGATCAAGGTTGTTGAGCAGATTTGAGTTCAAATTAAAACCCTACTACCAAATTCAACTACCAGTGAAGAATGCTTGTTTTAAAATAGCAACACAAAGGCAAACAGAACATCATTTGGCAAAAGAAGTAATCTGGAAAAGTATAAAACCCACAAGATAATACAAACCTGTGGGGAACACATGCAGGAACATTCAGTAAGTCTTTAATCCTTTGCTTTTTTCTAACACCACGCCTCTTTGTGTTTATTGGTCTTTTAGGCTGAAGGGTTGCCAATTCCATCAACTTGATCATTCTATTTTAAACAGTTTAAAAAAGAAACGAAGTGATTTACAGTTTATTTGAAAATACTCATTTTAAAAACCCTTTACCCTTCCTTAAAGCCCCTGAAGCCTTTTCAGAATATGGTTATAAATCTAGCTACCTTAAGACCAAAAGTACATTAATACACAATAACATATAGCAAATTAATACATACAGAGCACTGAAGTGACCAATCAAGATAGTAAAAAGTTCAGTGATGCCCCTTGGTGAGTTCCTTGATGCCCGTAAGCATCCACCAAATTAGGACATTGAAGCTACAGAAATGCTAAAAAGCTCAGGCTGTACTCTTTTCATTATCCTATTTCCACTCAACAGGATTGCCTTTTTCCAAACACAAGTCATTCTTCTGAATATAGCATAGGGTCTTTCTGATGTTTTGCAGTTTAAACAGCAAATAAAGAAAATGTTCTCTTCATTTAATATTAAAATGAAAATCCCAGCTGTGATGTAATTCAGTCCCAAAACTGCAAGAGCACACGACCTCCCGTTATTATTATTCCTACAAATACATACGGATGTACAAAGAACGTTTTTGAAGTCAGAGTCCACTTATGATCAGCCTATGTAGTTTATTCAGTAAAGAGATGGAAAAATTAAGAATCCAGAAAAATTAATTACTGCATCCTTGTATCTACACTCTCTCTTTATTCTGAGGCTTTGATTTTGGGCAGGGTTTTTTTGGATGTGGAAACAAACTATAATTTGCATACCATTTGGCTATTTGCCTTCTCTTACTGTGATTGAAAACAGCACTGTCCTGTTTTTAGATCACTCTGGAGCTTCCTTAAACATCTGGAAAGATTGCCTACATACTGCAAACATTAACAGATTCCACTATTTGCTGAGCTAGAATCTAAAAAGCAAAAGCATCCCTTTAAAAAAAGCCCAAAAGCTTGCAAGTGACTGTAAAATGCATACCTCTCCTTCTCCTCCTCATTATCACTTTCATATTCTGATTCATCTCCACTACAGATGGGCTCTTCTTCCTCCTCAGGCAAAGGAGGCTCTTCAGGAGGCAAGGGTGGGATTGGGGGAGGTGGCACAGGCACTGGTAAATACTCTTCATACTAATTATGGAGAAAAAGTCAAGAGTAATGAAACGTATTAAGGGAAAAAAATGCATAGCTCGTTTTCATTTACATAGTAAAGAGTCAAAGCAACATATTAGATGACAAGAAGCATTTTTTTTAAAGCATGTTTATAGGAATCTAGATGTTCTTTTGCTGAACTGCATAGTAATGTAATTTAATTAAATGTAGTA